CATGCATCAACCCAGGCAGCGAGCCTGACCACCCGATCCCGTTAGTCGCCTTTTACGACAAGCAGAGACACCTTTTACGGCAAGCAGAGTCACCTTTTACGACAAGCAGAGTCACCTTTTACGGCAAGCATAAATAGAATAATCTGCCTTATTCGCCTAACACCCCAATATTTTAAGTTGATAACTTTACATTAAAAACAATTGAACTTTTTCTGATGGTTCTGTATCACTAAACCCCCAATTTTCTGCCCGTATAAAGGAACAGTAAACTACGTTTATAACGAACACGCTTATAACGAACTGACCGATATAACGAACTTATTGTTTAGTCCCGGCCATTTGTGGTATATATGCTGTATATATGCTTAAACGAACTACGGTTATTACGAACTAGAATTAGTGGTCCCTTTGAGTTCGTTTTAACCGTAGCTTACTGTTTTGGTGTTATCAAATAATTGAAAGTGAAAGTGAGGCGAGGTTTCAAGGAATGTGTACTGCTTAACAAGACCATGAACATCTTCCCTGCTTGAATTGTAATATTATTTAAAGTTTTCGACCACAGTAATCTATTGCTAAAACACAAGTCAAAATAATTGTATCCAGTAACTACTTCAACGGCATTAACATGATAATACATTTTTGTTCAAAACGTGATAAACTATTTCTGTTTTAGATAGATTCACTGACAGTTTCCATTTACAACGGCAATCAAGCAATACATTTAATGCCATTCGTAAATTGTCAACCGTATCAACAAACCAAATAAGCCAGTCATCAGCAAATAAAAGGAGAAGAATATCAATAACATCCGGTTGTAACTGAACAGCAAAACGGCCATGTATCTTGTTCAGTTTCACTAACCTAAGTACAGTAAAGTACGTTTATAACGAACACGCTTATAACGAACTGACGGATATAACGAACTGATTTTTTTGTCCCGACTATTTGCTATAGTTATGCTGTATATATGCTTATAACGAACTACGGTTATAACAAACTAAAGTTAGTGGTCCCTTCGAGTTCGTTATAACCGTAGTTTACTGTAGTGGATTGTTTAGAGGATTTTCCTATTCTTTTCATAGTTATAGACATATTTCACTACTAACCTATTTGTTATAATAAGCGTACATCTTTGCTTCACAACCATGAAAAGTCAGATGACACCAGATACTCTATGCATTACTGTAGATGGAATTTAACGTTTTACCCATTTTAGTACTGAAACCATGTTTGTGAAATAGCTTTCACAGAAGACGAAGCAGACTGGCGTCGAATGCTTTGGGAAAATCAATACTAGTAATTGCTACATAGAATTTACCCCCTTTACGTGAAAGGTAACATTGAACGATAGAGTCTAAAAAAAGAATTATCAATAGTTGAATAACCTTTTTTGATCATCAAGACCAGCTGAAATATCATTCGTCAAAGCACTGATACTGTCACACATTTCGGATCTGTTGATTGGGGAATCTAAGTAGGCTCACACCTAGTATATTAAATGAACATATTTTACTGAAAAAAAGTGTTAAATTATCTTAATACAATATAATAAAAAGGAGCCCAGATTCTTTCTTCATGTTCAGAACTGAAAAAAACTGCGGTGATCTAGACTTGCCAACTATTATAGACTTGCAGGGGCTGTTTTGGATATATTTGTTTCAGGGTGGGTATGACAGACCAGAATCTAATATGTCAATTGTCAATTCTTGCACACATCCTGGACATGCTTCTGTGTTCTCCATCTCACCAAGACGGTCATTCTGAACGGCTATCTGTGCAGAATAATCGAGTCCGGACCAGACAATCCAGTGATTAATATCATGAGCATCTGTTGGGATACGATGACATTCATCAACCAAGCCAGCGAGTCTGACCCCCCGATCCCGTTAGTCGCCTTTTGTAAGGGAATCGAGTGGTCAGGCTTGGTTGATGCATGTCATCGTATCCCAACTGCGTAGATAGATGCTCATGATATCAATCACTGGATTGTCTAGTCCAGACTCGATCATTTACAGACCGCCGTCGTATAGCTGAAATATTGCTGAGTGCGGCGTTAAACAACAAACAAACAAAACAGCAAAGAGAAAAAGTCCACCCCCACCCAGGTTTGTGAGGTGAGGTGAAATTGGGTTTAACGTCGCGTCCAAGATTATTGCACTTATAGAGCGACGTGCATGCACGTGTATGTGTGTGTGTGTGTGTGTGTGTGTGTGTGTGGCTGCTTGTATTAGTCCGGACTGATGCCGATTTATAGTGCTAGCTCACTGAGATACCATGCCGCAGTTTAACATGAATACCAAACTCAGACACAGTATAGTGACTCCGACCAGTCATTGTTTGAGCCCCTTAATGCCGAGCGCCAGACAGGGTAACAACAAGTACCATCTTTTAACGTCTTATTGTATGACGCGGCCGGGGATCGAACCCCGGACCTTCCGCTCTCCGGGCGGACGCTCTACCACTAGACCACGGAGGCGGTCCACCCCAGGTTTGTATATCAATAGGGTTGGAGCGCTGCGGTTGTCCAGACAAACGCGTTATCGTGACCCTGAAACGATTAGGGTCTCCCGCTGCCTTTTCTAAGTCGCTCCTTTCCTATTGTGTATACTGGACTGCTTGAGCCGACACAGTGATCTTTATTCATTGCAAACTTTGTTATACTTAATTACGTTTGAGTTATCTTTACCTTTCGGAACGCATTTAAATAAATGCCGGTTCATATTTACCACTGAGATATTCATCATGGTACCATGGGGATTGTCTATAGTTATTGCTTACTCATTTCTTCAACACAGACGCTGTTGATAAAACGGCATCAGTTACAAAATAATGCGACTGCACCAGACAGTTATGTAAGAAAACACCGCGCTGCATTCGGTAATTCGTCTGTTGTCGACGAGGACTGTGTATTGCGAACAAAACACCGTCATAAAGAAATTGCTCATGTATATATCTGTATTCTGTAAGGTTACTAAGGGATTTGACTTCATGCAAGAGCTTCCTCCATGATATAATGGCATGGTATGCGTAAAGCTTTTGACAAGTCTGACACAAAGGGTTGTTGTGAGAATGGATGCAGTTAGAATTAGGGGAAATTAATCAAATTTTTTGCAGATTAAACATATGCTGGAGATCACATTTTTTAAATATCGTTTTATTTGTTGCATTTCATATTGTTTTTACAAAACAGAAAACAATCGTTTCCATTGTTACAAAAAAAGAGTATGACACGATGACGAATATTGATAGAATCTGTCTAAACACCCACTCACCCACTCGGGGTGGTCGGATAGCCTAGTGGTTAAAGCGTTCGCTCGTAACGACGAAGACCCGGGTTCGATTCCCGACATGGGTACAATGTGTGAAGCCCATTTGTGGTGTCCCCCACCTGATATTGCTGGAATATTGCTAAAAGCGGCGTAAAAGCTCACTCACTCACTCACTCACTCACTCACCCACTCACGTGCTGCACATTTGGCGATGAAGTAATACTGCTTCAGTTCATTCTGGAATATCTGGACCGATGGAATATGCTGTGTATCTTTAAGTGAGAAAATAACATTTTTGCAAAAGAATAATTTTTTTAATGGGGCATTACTTCTGAATTGGTATCCATGCAGAACATGCCGTTTGGTGATATTCACTTTGATGAGCGCTGGTATTTAGCCAAAGTTCGAGTGGTGCCCAGCTCGTTTTTTGATTGATTGACCGAGTGGGTGAGTTGGGTTTAACGCCGCCTTGAACAGTATTCCAGTTATATCACAGCGTGTCAGCTTAATGTGGGAGGAAAGATCGAAGTGATGCAGGTCTAAGGCGTTTACCACTCCTATGAAACCCACGAGCACGGGTATGGTGCTGACAAACCTAGAAACATAATCGGGGCGAACCACGTATATTGATTAAATTGTTTGTTGTTTACATATATGGTGGAGATCACATTTGATGGAGTCAGGACATATGGACAATGAGAGCCTGGCGAGTGTAAGGGATGTTAACTCTAGGTTTGCTGGGCATAGGCAGATTTCAAATAAATAATGCTATTACCGAGGACAACATGATTCTTCTAAAAGAGAATTCTATTCAACGGTAACATATATTTGACATATACATTTATCATATGGGGCTGTTTTTGTTCAATCTTTCAGGCCGTCTTCGCCACGCCATGGGGTCATTTTCTCTTTGATAAGGGAGGTTAACCCCTCTTCGCTTCTACAATCGAGTTTGGGAGTCACAATGACCTGTTTCAATGCAACTACAATGGCGTGGAATGTTGCAGTACTATCAATCACGATATTGGTGAATGACAAAAAAAAACTTAAGAAGAATACATATACGTGTATATTCCAATAAAATATATTCCAAAAGCATGTTACTACGGAAGCCTTTTAGGGCCATTTGTTTTAAAAAAAATAATTCTTGAAATTTCAAGATACTTAGTTGAAATTACAAGATAATAAGTTAACATCCTAAGATATGAAAAATACGTTTAAAGTGAATAATTTTGAAATGTCAAGATCATTATCTTGAAATTTCAACTTATTATCTTAAAAATTCAACTTAGTTTCTTGAAATTTCAACTTAGTATCTTGAAATTTCAAGATACTAAGTTGAATTTTCAAGATACGAAGTTGAAATTATCCTTTAATCTAACTTATGTATCTTGAAATTTCAAGTTAGCATCTTGAAATGTCAAGCTAGCATTTTGAAATTTCAAGTTAGCATCTTGAAAGTTAGTATGTATGTTGAAATTTGATCTTAGTATCTTGAAATTTCAAAGACAAAAATAAAAAAACAAATGGCCCTAAAAGGATTCCGTATGTTACATTTCTTTTTGTTGGAGATATTTTTCACGACAACTGATTTTCTTAATAAAACATGCCAGAGCTTTTTCATCACCTTGAAGAACCCAAACGATCATACTCGAGAAGAGAGTTCCGATTGTATGTGGCGAATCACCGACGGTACCCGAATGCATCACCGACCAGAGTTATCTCCCATCTCGATTTTTCGGGTGTCCTTCGGGAAGACTTGCATAGTTCATTGCGCCAAAGGATCATGTATTTTGTAAACAAGTCTTAGCTCATAGGACATTCTGCAGGTATGTCATTGATGCTATATTTGTGTATTTGTTGTTTATTTTTCATATTGGTGATGGTCAGTTCTGAATAGGTTGACAGTTCTCATGGGGCTATTAAAATCTGATAGATCCAATATGGCTAGCACAGTAGATCTAGCAGGGAAAATTCAAGATTGCGTGGTCTTGTCTTGGACAGTCGGACCGGTCACTGCTCCCGGCTAAAATGTTAGTCGTCGTCAATCGTCCTAAAACATTTCCTTTGAAAGCAGGACCGAAAGTCGTGTTTGTCATCAAGCAAGTAAGTTGGGACACATGGCGGTAGATGTATAGTTAATAGCCTACATGGCGGCAATAAAACCATGTGAGGCGGGGTTTGGTTGTGACACATATCTAATAATTAATTCATAAAACATCGCATGTGCCTTCACAGAGGAGGTTTTTGTTGTTTACTAAGTGAGCTTATAAGCCTACCCATGTGTCTGTCTGTCTGTCTGTCTTTCCCAAACGTTTTTCCCAAACTGGAATGAGGCTGAAGAACTTGGGGAGGAAGTCAATCACCATAGGCCTGATACAACTTGACAAGACCTAGGAATATGAAACATTGATAGATCTATGGTGCGTGGATGTGATATTGTCATCCATATAATGGTTAAACATGTGTAATAGATCTAGATCTAGGAGTGTTCCAGCTACTGAATTATTAACTTTTTTAAAAATTTAAAATATGTTGTAATCAGTTTGGCATAATGTTGATAATCTTTAAGAATCTTCTGCAGAAACCACAAAGCCCCCCAAAACAGAAGATGTTGAGACCTGTAACAAGGCGGATTCAGCATTTTTAAAAGGGAGGAGTCCAGGAACAAAACCCTCTCTCGTTGGAGGGGGATGGGGGATAGGGACTTGATTTTTTTTCATAGCTTCGAATTGAAAAGTCTAATAACTGAAAATAAAGATTCTTCAATTGTGGAATGTGTAAAGGCACCATCTTTTAATAAACCACAAAGTTCATTTCACCTGCACTCACTTTATTCATTACAGGACTTTGACTATCCGGTTCACACAACACTGGACTAATTATCCTGATCACATGACACTGAACTTTGATTATCCTGATCACACTACACTGGACTTTGATTATTCTGATCACATGACACTGGACTTTGATTATTCTGATCACATGACACTGGACTCTGATTATCCTGATCACACTACACTGGACTTTGATTATCCTGATCACATGACACTGGGCTTTGATTATTCTGATCACACTACACTGGACTTTGATTATTCTGATCACATGACACTGGACTTTGATTATTCTGATCACATGACACTGGACTCTGATTATTCTGATCACATGACACTGGACTCTGATTATCCTGATCACACTACACTGGACTTTGATTATTCTGATCACATGACACTGGACTTTGATTATTCTGATCACATGACACTGGACTCTGATTATCCTGATCACACTACACTGGACTTTGATTATTCTGATCACATGACACTGGACTCTGATTATCCTGATCACACTACACTGGACTTTGATTATTCTGATCACACTACACTGGACTTTGATTATTCTGATCACATGACACTGGACTCTGATTATCCTGATCACACTACACTGGACTTTGATTATTCTGATCACATGACACTGGACTCTTATTATCCTGATCACATGACACTGGGCTTTGATTATCCTGATCACATGACACTGGACTCATTATCCTGATCACATGACACTGGACTTTGATTATCCTTATCACACTACACTGGACTTTGAATATCTTTATCACACTACACTGGACTTTGATTATCCTGATCACACTACACTGGACTTTGATTATCCTTATCACACTACACTGGACTTTGATTATCCTGATCACACTACACTGGACTTTGATTATCAGGATCACACTACACTGGACTCTGATTATCCTGATCACATGACACTGGACTTTGATTATCCTGATCACACTACACTGGACTCTGATTATCCTGATCACACTAAACTGGACTGATTATCCTGATCACACTACACTGGACTCTGATTATCCTGATCATACTACACTGGACTCTGATTATCCTGATCACATGACACTGGACTCTGATTATCCTGATCACGCTAGACTGGACTTGAATTATCAGGATCACACTACACTGGACTCTGATTATCCTGATCACACCAGACTGGACTTCGATTATCCTGATCACACTACACTGAACTCTGATTGTCCTGATCACACTAAACTGGACTGATTATCCTGATCACACTACATTGGACTTTGATTATCCTGATCACACTACACTGGACTTTGATTATCCTGATCACACTACACTGGAATTTGATTATCCTGATCACACTACACTGGACTTTGATTATCCTGATGACACTACACTGGACTAATTATCCTGGTCACACTACACTGGACTCATCATTCTGATCACACTACACTGGACTTTGAGTGAGTGAGTGAGTGAGTGAGTTGGGTTTAACCCAGCTTTTAACAGTATTCTAGTTATATCGCGGCGTGACAGCTTGATGTGGGAGGAAAGCCCGAAGTGATGCAGGTCTCAGACGTTTATCACTTCGATGAAACCCACGAGCACGGGTATGGTGCTGACAAACCTAGAAACATAATTAGGGCAAACTGGGATTCAAACCCACAATCATAGGTTTCTGGGGTGCCCAAGGGACACAACTCTGTACAGCGAGTCGCGGCGCCTTAGACGATTGGGCCACCCGTGCCCCCCTGGACTTTGATTATTCCAATCACACTACACTGGACTTTGATTATCCTGATCACACTACACTGGATTAATTATCCTGATCACACTACACTGGGCCCTGATCTTGGTCACACTACACTGGACTCTGATTATCCTGATCACACTACACTGGATTAATTATCCTGATCACACTACACTGGGCCCTGATCTTGGTCACACTACACTGGACTCTGATTATCCTGATCACATGACACTGGACTTTGATATATTTTTATCACACTACACTGGACTAATTATCCTGATCACACTACACTGGGACCTGATTATCCTGATCACACTGCACAGGACCCTGATTAACCTGATCAAACTACACTGCTGCACTTTCCACACTTAACATACAATGCTTGCCTCACTTGAAACAACAAGGCCTTGGAGCTGTTTTCTGTTCCAGTTATTTCAGAGAAGATGCACTTGAATTTGGCATGCCATTTACAAAGCTTAACCCCATCATGGTGAATCAGAATATTTTAGTCAGCAGAATCTGGAAATGAAAATCAGAAAAAGGAAAAGTATTTGCATTACAGCAAAAATCCTGTTGGCATGTCCTCAATTCTTTTTCCTTAATCATGGTTTTGGTGGCTGAGAGGCTCGTGATGCCCAAACCTCCAGATTAAGTTAGACGCTCATCCTTCAATGACCTTGACCTTAGACTGTCACGCTACTGATAGGCTGGGATTTGTTTGGAGACATTAAAATATCAAGTTTAATGTCTGTGGTGTTAATGGTGATTAAGAAACTGATAGCTGTGATAACCATATCTCTATGCTGCTCCCTATAAATGATTTTAAAATTGACTTGTCCCTGCAGAGCTACAGGCTGTCCCATAGTGTTTTCCTAATAAATCTCAAATACAAATCTGCATGGCACTTCATATGCTTTCAGCTTAAGCAAAGTGCATGCATCTCGATCTAACGACAAATACAACATGATTTACTTCCTGAGACACGTGCCTCAAATACGAGTGCTTACATTTTAGATCATGCAACAATATATTTACTTATCAAATTGGAAATTGGACTGGTAAAGATTTTTTATCCACCATTGCGCTCAATGATTTCTATCTGTCAAGTATGTAAAAAGTAGCATGATCGAAAGTAGAATATCGGTGATGTTTTGTTCAACAAAGATTTATAAGGTATTTATTTGCCGGTCCATAGGGACTGGCAGTCACATGAATTACTGGTCCAAGCCTTATAAAAACTGGTAATTACCGGTAAACGGGAACACTGCTAAAGGCAGTGGTTTTAGGATGCGCATCGGGAAGAAGTTATATGGGTTTACGATTCATGTACATTATGGCAGGGTTGTTAGTGAGGTATGTTCCGAATAAGGAATATATTTGGAAAACACTACGGACCAGTGGCTAGCTCTGTGTTAAAATTTAATAGGGAGTCGTAGAGAGACATGGTTACCACAGCTAGGAAACTGACAAGGATATATGTAACGATGCCTTTAACTTGAATGCCGAAGGGGTAAGTCATGGTGTCTTGTTAAACAAGAATCAACCTACAGCCATTATCATTCATTCAATTCATTCATGTTTAACAGCGTTAGAAATTGGTACGAGTCCTGTAGTCCTTGCCAAACTGCCCAATAGTTTAGGTATCATAAGGATTACCATATTCGATATAATAAGCGTCCAGGGCGCTCTCAAAATTAGAAATAGGGGGCTCTTATTAGAATATAATTTTGGTGAGAAAAAAAAGAGTTGAAAGATCGTAAATTTCATGGTTTATGCTGACAACCTGAAATGATACAGAAGAAAAGTCGTATTATACACGACAGATATATTTTCCAGATTTTAATTGCCAATAATTAAGGGTGCATATAACACACGAGTGCGTATTATACACGAATAAATACGTCTTGTGTACTGATTAATTGGAAGGGGTGCTAATTGGGATTGTTCACTAGCCAATATATTAGCAAATATCGCCGTAGGCGCCTATTAGGACGGGGGTGCTTATTATGTCGAATACGGTAGTAGAAATTTGCCCTTTTCAAGGGTTTTGCTATTTGTTACCATTATAAGGAATAGTGGAGTAAAAATGTTAGTTTCTATCACTGTTTAAATGTTTTGTGAAATTGGCCAACCTGACTGATAGTCATGTGGTTTATGTCCAAGCCTGCTTGCCTGGCAACTGTTCACATTGTATGACCAGGGTATTTTTTAGTATGTACGTTTCTACATTATGGATGAAGTGTGAGGTGAAATAGGGTTG